AAAAAATCCAAAGAGAAATCATTTTCTTAATTAAGGTGGTGTGGTTGATGAGATCAAATACTTTCCTCAGGTCGATGGTGACGGTGGTGACCTCGAGTCGCTTGTCTACATTTGAAGTGATATAAAGTCAACTAGGTAGTGGACTGTGGATGTTTCCAAATCGGCGATGATCTAATTTGGGGGCGAATATTTTCCATAATTCTTTAGCAATTATTATCTCGAGTATTTTGCAAGGAATAGGTGTTAATGATATGGACCTTAGGTCATCGAGAAAATTAGGTGGATTTGTTTTGGGAATTAAGGCTGTGATAGCAGCTTCCATAGGTCAGGTACCACGCCCTCAGTGATGTAGCAGTTAAAGATGTCGCAGAGGCGTATATATATATATATAATACACAGTCCTTGCATGCCTTCTCGCTTACAGCTTACATCATCCTAGCGCTTCGAGTCAATGTGGAACACCGTTGAGAGAATTATGTGGATTTGTTTTGGGAATTAGGGCTGTGATAGCACGCTTCCATAGGTCAAGTACCACGCCCTCAGTGATAGAACAGTTAAAGATGTCGCAGAGGGGGTGGCGTGTATATATATGTACATATAATACACAGTCCTTGCATGCTTTCTCGAGCCTCCAGGCTAGTACAGTGGTAACGTGCCGTCGTCTCATCCGAGGGGTCGGCGGTTCGCGCCTCGCCCAGGCGCGAGAAGTTGCAATTGTCGCTCGGAGGTTACTGCTGTGGCTGGGCACCACGGTGGGTAAGGACTAAGCTCTGTCGCGTCAGCACTCGCTGACACAAGTTGATCGAGTCGACATTAGTCGGCACAGGCCGGGCTCCCCGCATAGCCCGAGCGAGGCTCAGCTTCGCATATCGGACTTATCCTTATCCTTATCATGCCTTCTCGCTTACAGCTTACATCATCCTAGCGCTTCGAGTCAATGTGGAACACCGTTGTTAGTTTGGTGACAACCTGAATGCGTTTAATTCGGTACTACGGAAATCGCTATGGGAGATCCTAAGACATTGAAATTCCCACACAGATTATTGGGTTAATAGCAAGCCTATATACTGATATCAAGAGTAATTTAAAATGTGATGTGGGCCTGTTGAGCTTCTTTTATGTTAATAATTGCATGGACTGAGTAATGGCTAAAGTCACAGTTAAAAAAGACTGGGCAATATCAAGGCCTCCAACCTCGACTTCACTGACATTGTTTCTTTCCTGTTTCTGGAATTTATGCTGGCTGCTCTTTCTGTATTCAGCAATGAGTCGACCGACCAAAAAGTCGGTAGACAAATATGTCTTAGAAAAGAAGCCATGAACTCAGGCAACAAAAAAATCTGGAGATATCGGTGCCTATTCAGAAGAACCAAGCTACTTGTCTTCAAGGCCTTGATACTACCAGTTTTGCACAGTGGAAGATAAATCTGGACCCTATCTAGTGCCTTGAATTCACATCTTGATGCTTTTTGTAACAAATCCCTATGCCGGATCATGGGGTACAGGTGGCAGTATCAAGTGATCAACCGACGGTTATACCATGAGACCGTCATGGGACCCTCTACTTGCAGAATCCAGTACTGCCAACTCAGGTTATGCAGATACCTAGCTCGTTTCCCTATGGATGACCCTGCCCATCAGGTTGTCTTTTCACAAGACAAACTTGGGTGAAGGAAGCCTGTGAAACGACCTAATTAGTCGTGGATTGGGCAGATCAAACAGACATGTTACGAGGAGTTAGAGATGGGCCAAAGGCCTGAATCATGGCTGGAAGGAGAATTGGATGTGGCTATGCGCCTCCATCAACGTTAACCCCCATTGTTTGATTGATATATGTATGTATATACATATATGTGTGTTTATGTATGCATGTGTGTGTATGTTTATATAGTCTTTTTTTCTTAATTATTTTTCTTTCTTCAATGAAGGATGGGTAAATTAGTAACAATATGTATAGCTACTTTTTAATCGTCAACATGTAGCTTTACATGCTAATTACAGTAACAGTCACTACCTCAGTTTCCTCAAGCTCCTGCTGAGCCTTGCGGAATTTGGCCAGGTTGAGGGCAGCGATCTCTTCAGCCTCCTCGATCTGGCGTTTGTAGGTCTTGATCTTCTGCTGGAGCTTTTCGACGAGGTCCTGCATCCTGTCGTGGTTCTTCTTGTCCTCATCAAACTGGAAGGCCAGCTCCTTGATGCGTCTTTCGCTCTTCCTCAGGTTCTTCTGGGCGTCGGCGTGTCGGCGAGTCTCGTCGTCCAGGGAAGCCTCGAGATCGCGAATGCGAGCTTCAAGATCGCTGACAGCCTTCTTGCCAGTCTTTAGGGCAGCAGCCTCACTCTCCTCAAGACGGGTGTGGAGATCCTTGTAGGTAACTTCCAAGCTCTTGCGCATCTTCTCCTGGTTGTTAGCGTGTTCCTGCTCAGAGCGGAGCTCATCAGCAAGGCGAGCAGCATCTAACATGGCCTTCTTCGCCTTCTCCTCAGAGTTCTTAGCCTCGCTGAGCATCTCTTCAAGGTCAGCCTACAAAAATTAATAAATAAATATATGGTGTCAATAAGCTGTCACTACCCTGATATAAAAATATGCATATATATGTATTTACTGCAGTAAAGTATATTCATTATAACGTACCTGGAGAGTCTGCATTTCTCCCTCAAGCTTCCTCTTGGAGGCGGTGAGATCGGCATTTGTGCTGGTAAGGTTGTTAATCTGTTCATGAGCATCGTGGAGCTCAGTCTCAGCGTGGCGACGGCCGCGATCGGACTGTTCCAGGAGAGTGCGGGATTCCTGGAGTTCACCATAGAGGGCGTTGTACCGGCGTTCAGCAATGCCATACTGTTCCCGGTACTCCGAGGCAAGACGCTGCTCATCCTTAACACGGCCCTCCATACCCTTAATCTCGTCGTAAATCTTCTTATAATGTTTCTGAAGATCGGAGTTGGCCTTATTGGCGTGATCAAGGGCAATCTCGAGTTCGTTGATATCGGACTCGAGCTTCTTCTTCAGGCGAAGAGCCTCGGCCTTACCCTTGGCTTCAACCTCTAGAGAAGCTTGCATGGAATCAAGAGCTCTCTGGTGACACTTTCTGTGGAAGCAAAGCAGAAGATAAATAACATGAAAAAGCAATAGCCACAAGGTTCAAAATACAATACACTCCTACTCCTATAATCACTTACCGAGTGTTGTCGAATTCCTCCTCCTTCTCCTGAACACGCCTGTCAATCTCTTGCCTGACCTGGCTGAGTTCAAGCTGTGTTCGGAGGACCTTATTCTCTTCTTGTTCAAGGGCAGCCTCGGCTTCCTCAAGAGCAGCTTGGAGCTCTTCCTTTTCAAGTTCAAGGCGCTTGGCGTTCTTCTGAGCCTCATGGTATACTCGGCCACCCTCACCGATCTGGTCCATCAAGTCCCTAATTTCGTCATTGAGGCTCTTATTCTCACGACGGATAGAATCAAGTTGTTCAATGTTTTCGTCATAGGCAGACTTAAGACGGAAGTGTTCGGTGGCGTAGTTGCGGCATTCCTTCTGAGAAGCATCAAACTCAGCACCAAGGTCTTCGACCTTCAGCTTCCATTCGGAGATGATCTTATCAAAGTTCTTCTGTTTCTTATCAGCGGAGTTGGCCAGAGTCTGTGCGCGTTCAGCAGCCACTTGGAGGTCATCCAGCTCAGCAGCAGCACGCAGCTTGGTCTTTTCCAGATGCAAGTTCTTAACATTGAGAGACTCAATCTGCATTTCGGCTTCTTCCAGACGAGCTGCAAGTTTCATGCGCGCAGCCTCAATTTCTTCTACACGAGCAACACCCTCAGACTCGTACTTAGAATGCCACATGAGAGCCTCGGCATTGGCCTTGGAGAACATGCGGAGAACATCTGCCTTGGCATCATTCTCCTCATCAAGTTGTTGACGAAGAGTCTGAATGTCGTGTTCCAAGTTGCGGAACTTACCAAGGAGTGTGGCACGTGCCTGATGGTGAAATGTAGAGTAATATCAATTAATCTATATATTTGTTGTTAGTGTGTCATAGGATTCATCATTAACGACAAGAAAAACTTACCCTGCCCTCTTCTTCAGAGAGTTTCCTTGTGTCATCGAGCTGATTTGTAAGGGAAAGCTTGACTCTGGAGAGCTGGCTGACCTGGCTCTCAGCCTCCTCCAGCTGACGGAGGAGATCAGCATTTTCGCAGGCAAGCTTCTTCTTGGTGGCATCATAGTCGCTCAAAGTGCGGTTAACCTCATCAAGCTTAGCACAGAGCTCACCATACTGATGCTGGAGCTGCTTGGTAGTCTTTTCAGCAGCAGTCTGGAACATGAATTATTATTAATAATAGATTTGATAAGAAAAACGAAATGATTATTATGTGCTGCATGTTTACACACTTCTATAAGTAGTGAAGAAGAAGAATAAATACAATAAACACATATAGATGTGTGTATGAGATAGTGGGTGCGTGTAATTGCTTGTGAATGTTAGTGCATACCAACACCCACACAATTATGTACAACTACGCTGTAAAATATCATTAGAAAATTGTACTAAACATTATGACACAAAAAATTATACTTTTTTGTAATATTGTTAACGCTATGAAACTATTGGTATCCCTCATTTTCTAACTTCTCTAGGGTCTGTGTGGCTTATCTTAATAATGCAAAGCAAGAAAATCATGATTATCTCATTGTGCAGTCCTAAGAATTAAGGAATGGCTATGTAAGACATCAATTAAAATGAGACAAATTCGAAACCCATCCGTAACATATGGACCTGTTCGATATTTGATGTTTCGATATCCCTACTTATGATAGTTTTCTTCATATCTGTGCATACATAATATGTATATATGCATATACAAACTTCACATATATATTTGTGTGTACACACACATATATATGTGTGTGTGTGTGTGTGTGTGTGTGTGTGTGTGTGTGTGTGTGTGTGTGTGTGTGTGTGTGTGTGTGTGTGTGTGTGTGTGTGTGTGTATCCCCACCCACCACATACAC